TAGGATTCCTAAGGAATCCTATAGTATTCCTAAGGGATCTTATAGGATCCTATAGGGTCCTATAGGATCCTATAGGGTCCTATAGGATTTCTAGAGGATCCTATAGGATTTCATAGATTTCCTATAGGATCCTATAGGATTTCTATAGGATCCTATAGGATTTCCTATGGGATTTCATAGGATTTCTAGAGGATCCTATAGATCCTATAGGATCTTATAGGATCCTAGCAGAGCTCCTCATAGAGCTCATAGAGCTCCTCTATGGGATTCCTAAGGGATCCTATAGGATTCCGAAGGGATCCCACAGGGTTCCTAAGGAATCCTATAGGATTCCTAAGGGATCCTATAGGATTCCTAAGGGATTCCATAGGATTCCTAAGGGATCCCACAGGGTTCCTAAGGAATCCTATAGGATTCCTAAGGGATCCTCTAGGATTCCTAAGGGATCCCATAGGATTCCTAAGGGATCCTATAGGATTCCTATAGGATTCCTAAGGAATCCCATAGGATTCCTAAGGAATCCCATAGGATTCCTAAGGGATCCTATAGGATTCCTATAGGATTCCTAAGGAATCCCATAGGATTCCTAAGGAATCCCATAGGATTCCTAAGGGATCCTATAGGATTCCTATAGGATTCCTAAGGAATCCCATAGGATTCCAAAGGGATCCTATAGGATTCCTATAGGATTCCTAAGGAATCCTATAGTATTCCTAAGGGATCCTATAGGATTTCCTATAGGATCCTATAGGATTTCTCGAGGATCCTATAGGATTCCTCAAGAGCTCGCTGCACCGGTGCGCACACGCGTCGTGCTGTCAGAATCCGCATGGAGGACGTAGCGTTGAGAGCTTGGTCTGTGGAGGTAAGCTTTCGGGGTTGCTCGGGGTTGCTGGGGTTGCTGGGGTTGCTGGGGTCCCGCGGTTGCCCCCGGGCCGGTCAAGTCGGCCTTGTCCCTAGGGGAGGAGGCGCTGTGGAGCTCCCCACTGGACGGGCCGGTCAACTGCGCCTCGTTCTTGTTGTTGTTGTTGTTGTTGTTGTTGTTGTTGTTGCTGTTGCTATTGTTGTTGCTGCTGTTGTTGCTGTTGTTGTTGCTGTCGTTGTTGTTGTTGGTGGTGTGTGTGTTTTCCGGGTTGTTCCATCATGGTGCGTTCGGCTAAGTTCGTTCGCAATTGTCACCTCCACCTGCCGACCGCGCCTGAGGTTCCTCTGCGTCCCCGACTCAAGAAGTGTGTGTGTGTGTGTGTGTTGTCGGACGGGGCCCACCGCTCGATCGGAGGAGGCCCCTTAGGGGTCCGACAACCCGCACCCTTGTCTTTGGCGCCTTACTATCCTTGCCCTTCCCCGCTCCGCCTCCCAATATAGATTTGAGTATGTGTTGGACGGCGGGAGGTCGGCGGAATGCGGCAGATGCAGACGGAAGGTCGCCACTAACAAAACAACCCCAATTCAACCCGAAGTCCCCAATTGCCCCTCATTGCGAGTTGGGGGGGCGTCGGGGAACATGATAAAACACAAAGAACACATCTGGAACCTGTACCCCGACCCGAATTTTGGGTATTCGGGTTCGGTTGGGGTGGTCTCGTAGATAGTCAGACGGGAGAGGAGTTTCGGGTTTGAGCTCTGAAGTGCTTTTGCGTTTTCGTCGCTTCTCGGCGGTCTCCCACCCCTCGGATGCGTTCCAGCAGCTGCGCCTGGCCGACGGGAGGGCGTTCCGGGTATGCCCGGATCTTCCCAAGTGGGCGCCGGAGGTCGGTGTTTTGGCCCGAATGCCACAGCGCGCGGCCTCTGGATGCTCCGCGAGTGGATCCAGCCAGGCGTGCGTTCCAGCTTCCTGGCGCGATCAGAAGGCTCGTGGGGCCTCTGTGGTCTTGGCGTTGGGCGCGTCAACAGCGGACACGCTCGCCTGGGATAGAGCCAAGCGCGGCGCGGGCGCGCCAGGGCGCGAGATGCCCCATGCCAGGGTTCCAAGCAATCGGCGTCGTGATTTGTTGTCGACGTGGTCCTCCAGTGGGATCGCCGCGGGGGTTGCTAAGGAGATAGGGGGGGCATCAACGGATGCCACGGTGGTTATAATGACCCACAGTGGCTTAGAAGTGGATTGGACATGCCTCAAGTGTCTTTGGGGGTTTACGATATGGGCTAAATGGGTTCCGCCCACTTAGCACAATTATCTGACCCCCTATCTCCTTTGCGACCGTCGCGGCGATCCCAGCAGAGGTCCTGACCTCTTCCTGGGGACCGGGTCTTCATCCCGAGTTGGTTCTTGACGGTACCGGGGCCCGATGTGGGTCTCCAGAAGCAGAACATTGCCCAAAACTTTTCGTCGCGATTTTTCAACGACCCAGGATGTCAGGGGCGGAGGAGTCCAGGCAGACTTCGACCCGCCATGCCCCCTTCACTTTTCGCCTGCCCCCCCTGCAGCCAGGCGTGGCGGTAATGGGCGATACGCTCAGCACCCAGCAGCAGGCCGAGCTGCTGGCGGAGTATAGCGCCATCGGTCCCCTCGTACCTTCTCTCTTTTCCCTCCTCCCTCCTCCCTCCCTCCCCTCCCTCCTCCTCCTCCTCCTCCTCCTCCTCCTCCTCCTCCTCCTCCTCCTCCTCCCCGTCCTCCTCCTCAGGACTCAAGACGATGGCAGTATCAGGGTGATCCTCGGTGCCAAAATCAGTGGACGGATAACAAGGCGCACAGTTAGTGAGTAGCAAGAAGACAAACAGGGAACGGCCGAACGACTAAGACCTCCTCCTCCTCCTACTCCTACTCCTCTCTCCTCCTCCTCTTCGTCCCCGAGCTGCGGAGCTCGGGCAGCGGGTTTTCGACTGGAGAAATCGCGAGGAGGCTGAACTCTCGGATGGCGGCAAACTTGTTTTTGTTCGGGCCCCCCGTGTGATGCATGTTTCATGTGGTGGCACGTGCAGCTGGTGTCGGTCTCCTCAGCCGTTCGCCCGTATTCGGCGGGCGGCGGTGCATTTTCTTGTCTTCCTCCAACGGCGGGCGCGCGCCGAGATTGTTCGCCATCCCCCGCCTGGGACATGTGGCTGCGGAGGAGGCGGGCCCAAGCCCGATCGGTGACTGCCGTGGCTCAGGCCATGTGCCTGTTCAGCGCCCATCACGGAGACCGTCACCGCGTCATGGCTGGTGCTGCTGGTTGCGAAGGCCGTGCCAAAGCGGATGCTGGTGCGCCTAGACCCTTTCGTTTAGTGCTCCGGCGGCCTGAGCGAGTCGGTTGGCGATGTGGCCATGCCGACTGTCGTTGCGCAGAGAAGCTCTTGCTTTGTAAATCGTGCAAACATTGTTGGGGGGGCGAAGTCAGGTGGCGAAAAATCGCTCTGGGCTGAAGGATGGTCCACGTGGCGGCAAACATACAACTCGGCCATCCTAGTCAAGTCCCAGGCCAAGCACCAGTCAACAACTTTTTCGCGAGAAGAACTAGTGTCAATGGTTCCACTAGCTGAAAGGTCAGGTGACGCAGCTACGGCAACGGAGGCTCGCCAGCACTTGGGGCCGTTGGTCAAGCCAAATTAGCAAAAACAAAAAAAAACAAAAAACCTGCTCAGGTCCGTTCCAACCGGACCCACGCAAAGACGTACGATCACGGGGCGGCTCGAATCAGAGAGCGCGGCACCCAACGACCTCACGCAGCAGGTGGACACCCAGAGGGAGTTGCTGGCGGGGCTGGTGGACGAGCTCGAGGCAGCGGAGGCCGAGAACAAGAGTGCAGTGGCAGCGGTCGTTGCCGTTGTCGGGGCTCCAGCTGCGACGGCTGCGGGATCCAAAGCGGTCAAGGGCAGCGGGCCTGTCGAGCTCTCTTCGGCGCGGCTCATGGACAGCGAAGTTTATAGGGGAGGCGAAGGTACGCAACAAAACCATATGCTCGTGGCGCTCAAAAACATGGCAGGCATTTTCTTCGGTTATGTACACAAGAAGGGGGAAGCTTTGCAGGCCGAGCACGATGCCCAGCAGGGGCGCCTGCCTTCCAAGAAAAGGCGCATACGAGAAGATGGAATGGAGGTGCTGCTGGCGCAGGTGCTGCCGCGGAACCAGCTGCGGGGGGGGGGCTGAGGGCGACGGCCAGCCCGAGGCGTCTCAGTCCTCCGTTCCACCCGCCGAGACACCCGAGCAGGCTGCGGAGGCGTCGTTGGCGGCAGCGGTGAAGGTCAAGAGCGACAGACGTGACAGGGCGGCCCAGGTGGCGGCGGCGCCGCCGCGGGGGTGACCGTCCACAAGGTATCCTGCAGGCCGCTGGAGCCTGTTCAAGTAAGAGAGTAAGAGGGTTCGTCGTGCAGTGCGGTCCTGTTGATGTGATTTGGCGACGGCTGGCTCGGCGCCGGCTCCGTCGTCGGCGTCGGGTTCGGCCTTTCCTGTTTTCATTGGGGCCCTCAGCTTCGCGTTCTGCGTCATCGTCGATGGCGCCGAGAAGGCTGCGGACCTGGGATGGGCCCTGAGAAGGCTGAGACTGCCCTGCGTGCGAAACCCGCGACGGGCGGGCCCCGTCGGGCGGGAACCCGCAGGGTGGGCACCGCTGGTGACAGGGAATCCCGAGCTCTGGCGGGATGGGTATTTCTTAGGCCGCCGAGCTGCTCAGCGGGATGGATATGTACTTCCAGCGGCGGCTTCAGCGGGCACTGTGCGTCAGGTGGTTCGGCGGCTTGATCATCTGCGTTGTCGGCGTCATCGCGTTCGTCAGCAGTTGACAGGGGGGTCTTTCCAAACCGCATGCCAGGAGTTTCAGTGACGTGGCGGAGGCTGGTTCGGCATCGGCTCCGTCGTCGGCTCCGTCTCTGGCTCGTGGCCCGTGCTCTGCCTGGCGCGCGTCTTCGGGGCCCTCGGCTTTGCGGTCCGCGGACCTGGTTGGGCATTGAAAACATTGAGATGAAATAGCTGAGGTTGCCCCGCGGACGAACCCGCGGCGGGCGGCCCCCGTGGCGAGGGAACCCGGATGGTGGAATCGCTGGAGGGAAGCCCGAGCTCACGTCCGCGGGCAGCCTCAGTGGAATGGGTATTTCCAGCGGCTCCAGCGGGCGCGGTGCGGCAGGTGTCTTAGTCGCTGGGCCATGTCATCCGTCGGGGTCGTTGCTTCCGTCGGCAGCTGGCGGGGTGGGCATTTCCGAGGCTGCCGAGCTGCTCGGTGGCACTGCCGATTCCGGCGGCTCAATTTGGCGCCGCGCGTTGCCGCCGCTGACGTCGGGGTCGTCGCGTTCGTCGGCAGCTGGCGGGGCGCGCGCGTCCAATCGAGCCGCCGAGTCGCGCAGCGGGGGGATCGCGCTGCCAGGGGAGGGCTGCCTGAGCGCGCGGCGCTCGGCTGTCCCGCAGAGTTGCGAAGAACTGGCAGCCTTTGGCGCGGGCCCCCCTGCTGGCGAGCGAGGCCCCTCTGTCGGGCAGCTGCGATGCGTTAGTTGCTAAACCAGTCACTTCGGTAAGTCCTCCTAGGCTGAGTGGGGGCGTCTCTCTCGTTCGAGCCGAGCCCGGCGGGCGCCCGGGCGCAGCTCCTCGGTGGCGTGCTATGCCACCCCTGCATGGCGGCGCGGCAGACGCGCAGGCTACCCTGGGCTCCGCGCCGAGGGATTCCGGCGGCGCAGGAGAAGGGCCGCCTCTCCCTATGCGTTTCTCTTCCGGAGCTTCTGCTCCTGCGATCCGAGCGGGCTCGTCGCGGGCTCCCGCGTCGTCCCGCGAGGGTGCCGCTCGGGGGCAGCCGCTCTATCAGTGCGCGCATTTGCCTGCGCGCGGCGCAGCCCGTGCTGTCGGCCACCCATGGGGCCCCAAGTGCGATCGGGCTAGACTGCGCTTCCGTTTTTTTGGGGGGTCTGCAGACCCCCCCGCAGAGCCCCCCAGCCCGGGCGAGGGCCCAGTCTGACTGCGGAGAGTTGCAGCGCCGCGCGCTGGAACTGAATCCATGAAGAGCTCAGTCGAGCCATTCGCTGTTCATGTGATTTGCGTGGAAGGGCACCGCGCTGTGCGTGGGATCGGCCCCGGCGGGGGCCTGGTCGGGTTGCTTGCGCCGCGGTTGGGGGCCGATGCTTGCTCGTGATTTTGCTGGCCAAGGAATGGCGGTGGCTCATCTGGAGGTGTTGGCGTCCTCGCAAGGCGTTGCCGTGGGCTGCGCGAGCCCCTGTGGGGCTCGTCGCTGGTGGCAGGGGGGCTGATGGGCGCCCTGGTCCGTCTTCCTGCGCGCGCGCGCCTGTTTTGGCCTTGTTGGTATACCTTCATGATGGGGGAGACATGTCTAACCGGAGCCTCGACATCCTTAGCGCCGCGGGATCGCAACCGCGGCTGCCTGAGCGCCTTTGGGGGCGTCGAATTGAGCTATCGGGGCCGGGGGCGCGCCGCTCGCCGGGGGGGCGGAGTGTCTCGGGCATTCTTGCGCGTTCGAGCGGCGCTGCCAAGGGCGATAGGTCCACCCGCATTGCGCGGGCCGCGCAGCTCGCTCCTCACAGGCAAGTCCGTCTCCTGCTGCGCCCCAGGTTGATGCAGCTGTGCGCCCTGGCCTCCCGCGAGCCGCCCCTGGGCCGGTCGGGGTCGCGCGAGAGCCGTCCGAATGGCCCAATATAATCGATGCTCCTGACGGCTGTCGCGGGGCCGCTCTCACGGGGAATCTCGCGGAGGTTCGGGGGATGCGATTGGGTCTAAGGGCAAGTGGACCGATCGGACTGAGCAAGAGCTCCGCGACTTGACGCGGCGCGGGCTGCCTTGCCATGGCGCCCGCAGTAAGTCAGCGCGGCTGCATTGGGCGCCGCCCGTCAAGGGCGTGGCCCCGCCGCGTCGCCATCCGAGGCTGTTCGGCGGCAAGCGGGTTTTGCGCCGTTTGCAGGATCTGATCTTCAGGGTTCGCGAAGACTCGCAGCTGGCCCTGGAGACTCGAGCCGACGACTACCAGGAATCCCCGACAATTGCCCAGCCCCTCCCTCGCGCTGCCTCCTTGGGTGGGCAGGGGGCTGGGCGGCGCGCGGGAGTTCTTTGCGGGGGCGCGTGGCTGCTTTGGCCGAGCAGGACTTGGTTGCCGCGGCGCGGCCGTTCCTCGGCGCTCTCCAGTCGGAGGCGCGCGGGGAAGGTGGGGCGGGGCGGTGAGAGGGGCCCCTTTCTGATATCGCGGAACCCTTGAGCCGGCATCCGGCAGAAAATAGCCGAACGGCAAATATTGTCGGATCCGGCAGTTTTTGTCAAACATATGGATTCGACCGAGTATTCTGTCGAATAGTTCGGCCCAAGATAACCCAATCCATGCGATTTCTCCACCGTGACAAAATCAAGTTTTGATCAAGACTTCGGACACATCCAACGAGCAAGTTTTGATCAAGTTTTGCTTGCAACTTGCTTTGCAAGAGCCCGAAAATCAAGTTTTGATCAAATTTGCATGAACCTCGACTTTTGGCAACCTTACAAATAGTCTATCACATACTTCAACAACTTACCGCACCACAGCACAACAAACAATCGGATCCGGCCAAACCGAACCCTCCGCCAAAATCTGCCGAATCCGGCAAACATTGCCGTCCGCTTAT